ATGATACAAATGACTCCTACATATAAAGACCCGTTGGTTCAATGCAAGCACCCCAGCTTTCTCTTCATGACAACCTTTCAATCCCCACCATTATTATGCTTTATTCAGAAACTGGATCATTAATGACATGGTTGAATGCCTTGTAGAAACACTTGCTTGTTTGTAGACGAGTTAAGTCTCGGCATAAGNATTTCAGATCCTCTTGAGAACACCAAGCTATATAAAGAGGAGGTGTTCCCACATGGAGCAGTTGAAGTTGAGAAAGCTAACTCAAAGAAAACTTTCGAGGCGAAAGAGTAGAGACTAAAGTACTATTGGAGTGGTGACAANATGCCTTGTAGAAACACTTGCTTGTTTGTAGACGAGTTAAGTCTCGGCATAAGCAATTCTTGTAAACTTCTAGAAAGGCATCAAAATCATGTGCTTAATTCTCACAGTCCATCTTTATCTTCTAATTAACTTCTTGTTGACACGGGAGTTAATTGAGTTATAAAGCACAAACATAATAAAACGGACACTCTATTACATGTCCTAATCCTCAAGCTAAAGGGTGGCTGTTACATTTTGATAATCTTATATTTTGTCTAGAAAACTCTTGAAAAGAATCTTCTATTCTATTCAAGAAAACCCCACCACTCCAAACACTTGAATTTTCCAAGTTCCNTTTTAATTGGTATGTCAATTACTTGCAGGTCCCAAGGATTGAACATAAAGTTGGAGTACACACAACGCCTTACTAGGAGCCAAGAATAGTCCACCTATGTTTCTCGAATACACTCGCGACTCAGCGGACGACGAAGACACTAACAACGATACCGCCGACTAGTGAAGTTTCTAGGAAGTTCTCTGTCCTAATTTTTCCTACTTTATACATTGAGGACAATGATNTTATTGCTTACTTCAAAACACCAATCATAGTTCCCTGTGGATTCGACTCCGGACTTGACCGGATTATTACTACAACTTGACCATTTGTACTTGGGTGTACACATTTCAGATCAAGTCAGAGGTAAGCANTGGGGGTATTTTCTTGTTTGCATTTACATTATTAGGTATGCATTTAGACAACATGTTTTGCACTTAAATAACAAGTTTTAGTACGACTTGAGCAATGGGTTGATTGAATTTGATCATGGTCAATGATGAATGGAATTAATTGTCAATTTAAGAAAAATTGATGAACATGTTGAGTCTGTAGTTTGACATACTAGTTGGTTTTATACTGTTAGTGATCTTTTCATGCATGAGCACATATCCATCTGTTGGTTAGTTATTATTTAAAGAATTTATGTGGTTAAAAATNAGAAAATTTTGTCAAAGAAGAGAAAACTAGGCAATTTTGAGACAGTGGCACTTACATNGGTTAGTTATTATTTAAAGAATTTATGTGGTTAAAAATGCTTGTGGGAGATATCATTGAAACTTTAGAGAACTTGTTTAAGCATCATTCAAAGCGAATTGAGGTATTCATATAAGTTTGGGAAAAATATTGGTTATGATGGATTAGTGTATAAAAAAAAATATTGGTTATGATGGGTTAGTGTATAAAAAAAAGTTTTTAAAAATTATTTTAATTTGATCCTTCATGAGGTAGAGAAAAAAAAATATGAAAACAAGAAACAAGAAAGGGGGCATGTGGTGAGTAGAGATGGAGCGTAAAACGCACTCACTTATAAACACATGTTGAGAACGAGATGGAGCGTAAAACGCACTCGTTCAAGAAAAGACAAGATGGAGCGTAAAACGCACTCGTTCAAGAAAAGGCAAGATGGAGCGTAAAACGCACTCGTTCAAGAAAAGGCAAGATGGAGCGTAAAACACACTTGCTCAATAGGAGGTGAGATGAAGCATAAAATACACTCACCAAACGAAAAAAAAAAAATAATCTTTGTATCTTTCTAGTTATATGTTTACCTTAATAAACAGAGGTTGATGTGAAACGTAAGTTCATAAAGTTGATATTGGTATCTCATATGGAGCGTTTGATTAAGTAAATGTATTTGGGTGATAAATAGTTGGATAGTTCGAATATGTACATGTATTGAAAAGGTCAAGAACGGAGGTAAAATTAAGGAGTATATTAAATTGATAGACTTTGCACTATTTTGAAGTTTCCTGTGAATTATTATTTGTAGTACCTTTTTGGGCCATTTTTCAGATTCATATTGATCCATTGTTTGAGTAGTTGGTTGTTAGGGTTAACTTTTATAATTTTTGTTCTTAGTATTTTGCTTGAGGACAAGCAAAGATTTAAGTTTGGGGGTATTTGATGAGTGGGTTTTATACCTACGAATTGAGTACTTTCGACTTGATGAAATTGCAAATTTTTAATTATTTTATGTTTCTTTTTATTTATTTTGTGTGTTTTGATGTTGTTTGGTAGGAATCATCATTTGGAAGGAAACAAGGTCAATTGAAGCCTAAGTGTTTGATTTTTTTAAAGCTAAGCAACAAGGGAAGCTTTAGGCTAAAAAAGGGACAGCGCAAAGTCAGTGCCTTTGTGCCCACATTTTGTCCATGCAACACAAAGCAAGCACCTAGGTGCTTATGTTGGCTCTGGACGCGAATTTTGACTTATTTTTGACCCGAAATTGAACCCTAATGATGTATATATGCTAGGATTTGAGTTGAGACTGATATATACTGATTTTGGAGGCTGCTAACATGAAAGAAAAGACCAAGGATTAAAAGAAAATTGAAGACAAGAATCGAGGGAAGCGACACGAAGAAGATTGGACTTGAAAGTTAGAGAGTGATTGAAGATTGCAACTAAGTTTTCATTCTTTTCTCTTACTTTTACTTCTTAATTTTCTAAGATGTTGTTTAATTTAAGAATGATGTTTTTCAATTACATTATGAACTAAATTTTTATTATGATTGCAACAGAACCTGATATGGAGTTAAATTGATCTACTCTCATTTCCAGTTCTATTGATAATATATGAGTTGGTTATCATATTTTGTGCTTAATATATGATTGTGTGGTCAATAATTAATTTGATAACCTAGATGAAATTGGAAGATGAATTCTAAGTTTGGATCTGAATATGATGACATACGTCTGGTTAATTCTTCTTAGGATTGAATTACTGGGTTTGTCTATAGAATAGGAATATACCTATATACCGTGTGTAACTTTTATGAGAGTTTGAGCTTAATGAATTTATTCCAAATTATTTTACATAGGAATATAGTAATTTAATTGGGAGAGATAATTTTATCTAACTATCGGAAGAGGTTTGATAAATAACTTTAAGTTTTCAGTTNAAACATTAAGAAAAATTGTAATCTTAACTTCTTTTATCCGGTAAATTCAACCCTTAATTATTAAGTTTAGATCTAATTTTAAATTAGTAATTCCATAATTTAATTCCATTTGTTTAAATAAAATTAAATTGATACAAAATTATTATTTAAATATTATTAGCAATAATTCTCCGTGGGAATAATACTTTACTTATCACTTTATTACTTGTTGATCGTGTATACTTGCACATAAATTGTCAATATCAAATTGGGATAACACTTAGTTCCACTGAGGCTGACCCCGGGGAAAGCTAAAGCTATNTTATTACTTGTTGATCGTGTATACTTGCATATAAATTGTCAATATCAAATTAGGATAACACTTAGTTCCACTGAGGCTGACCCCGGGGAAGGCTAAAGCTGTCATCAGCGACATTAAAAACTATGCAGCAACTCAACATTAGATTTGCCTAATGTCCACATGTATAAAATGCAGTTGCACACTCGCCTGAAAGAACTGCTTTGAGACTGTGAATCCACCTCCCAAGCAAGTTTAATGTCTACTCCACGATAATATTCAATGTCTATTTTGCTTTGTGATTGTAATCAAACAGCTCTTTAGCGCACGAAATTAATTGTCTCTCTTTTTCTGGGAAGTCCAATTTAAAAAAAAAAAAAAACGGGAACGTAGGAGCAGCAAACATAGCAACATCTTTTGATAACAACGAAAATCCTATGTGCCAATATCATCAGTTCTAAACAAGATAGAGCACGTAGTCAGTCAAAATAATCCAATCTCCAGTCTGAAAGAAATAAATACTGTCAATACTTCCGGAAACCGAGCCTTTGTGAAAGATTAAAACTCAGCCGTACCCCAGTTTTGTCCACGCAGGTAGTAGAACAACCTTAATGTGAAAGGAATTACTCTGGCTGCAAATGCAACGAGGGGACCTTTCATAAACGGAATGGTGGTGGGCCAGAACGAATTGCTGCCAAGCAGCCACACTGAACCCCTATCCAACAGATCCTGTAGCCAGATCGCTTGCCAAATACTCATCTATTTAAGAATTGAAATTTACCACTTCAAACATTCACGCCTGCAGAAGACAGCATCAAACAAGTAATTCTCATGTAAAATATGCCATGCGAAAGTTGATGGATTATAAAGCACACTAGCAGATGGGAATAGATGAAAATTTCAACAAATTTGGATATTGATTAAAGAGAATCAGAGAGCCAGGCCGAACTTCACGGCTTCACACTAATACTTGCCATTATATAATTTCATCTTTTATATACGAAGGATCTCNCCATGCGAAAGTTGATGGATTATAAAGCACACTAGCAGATGGGAATAGATGAAAATTTCAACAAATTTGGATATTGGTTAAAGAGAATCAGAGAGCCGGGCCGAACTTCACGGCTTCACACTAATACTTGCCATTATATAATTTCATCTTTTATATACGAAGGATCTCAGCAAGTAGCAGCCTTCCATGTAAAGTTTGAAGCATATCTGTTGTCAGTGTGAATTATAATTATTGCACGGAAAAAAATCTGGGAAAGCCCTCATAGCACTTATTTCACATAGGTTATTCAGGAAGTGAAAATTAACTAACGTTGATGAANATCCCAGCAAGTAGCAGCCTTCCATGTAAAGTTTGAAGCATATCTGTTGTCAGTGTGAATTATAATTATTGCACGGAAAAAAATCTGGGAAAGCCCTAATAGCACTTATTTCACATAGGTTATTCAGGAAGTGAAAATTAACTAACGTTGATGAAAAAAAAACATAATACATTTGATTATACAACTCATCCTCAAGACAGATGCACCTCAAGCGAGAATGTTTCAACAAACTTCACCAGATAACTGAAATTACAAGAACAAAGTTCCCCAATACCAACAAATAAAGTGTCAAAATATTCAAAAATAAAACCTTAAGAGATGAAAATCTTTTGAGTTACATTCTGCATATTAAGAAAACACTGTCAAACCCATTTAAAACCCTTTGGAGGTATTCGCCAAATTCATTTGCAACCGTTCCTGTACCTCCCAAACTATCAGAAGACTTTTTATGTGCTTTTTGGCTTCCTCCAGAAGAGACCAACTGAAAACCCCATTTTTAAGAAGTGTCATACATTACTTAGCTCTCACAAATTCCAAAACTGGGCCATGAGTTCATCATCCTACAGAAGATGAATGACAGTAGCACGAAAAAATGATTAATAAAAAAAATAGTAGTTGCACCATGAAGTGCCAAAGAACTTGCTACAAGATAGAACAAAATCTAAAATTACCAAAATCCCCTCCACATCCGAAAAAGGGCTAACAAATAAAAAGGGAAATACTCCACTAATAGGAACAACTTAGGGCTTATGGTGCCATGAGATTAATGGAAGAATCATTACATTCAGCTATACATAAGATGGGGCTTGAAAATGATATAACCCCTAAAGGTTGCCCAGAAGCATAGCAAAGGGGATAAATCATTTTTAAGGTAATGGTCCCCCTCCCCCTCGGTGAAAAGAAGGGCCAGGAGTAGCAAGAAGTTTAGAAATGAATAGTTGTTAAACAGATAAGACACTTATCATTTTTTGGTGAACTTTACACTGGTCAATTCCTACATGAGAATAGCGAGAGTTGGAAATAAAAAAGCATTGTCTAACACTCGAGAAGCAGGAAAATATTTTCACAATTACTTTAGATTTTTTCTTTTTGCCCAAGCCTTAGATCCTTTATTTCTGTCCTCATGTATCAAGTAAATCAGCCAACTCTGCAACCTGATTTATATATCTTGTGGGGCCCCATTGACAATCCAAGTTCTTCAACAATGGGAGTCGCACTTAGAATTTTTCTTTAACCAATTCAACCATTGATTTTTTTTTTTTTTTGGAACTGCAACCATTGGTTTCAAGTGAGACAATATTGTGACTTCTACTACAGAATATTTATTTTGTGCCATGTACCATGTTGTATGTAAGATGATTTCTCAATGATTGGTTTGAACCTAGAAACATCAAAAAGAGAGAAATACAGAACCAAGAAAAGTTACCATAAGGATGCTGGTCATTTGTATTGTAGCTAAGCTCCAAAAGGCCTGCAGGAAGTATTATGATGTCAGAGTTCACAATATGTCAGGGCAATGTAAACTATCTTACATTTTGTTATTTTCTTTTTTTTTTTTTTTGTACTAAAGATGAGTAGCCTAGACTCTTAGGACAACAGATTAGTTCATAGCGAAATCGGTCAGGTCATATGCCAGAAGGGATCAAGTGGAATAAATTTCTCTATCTCCAATGAATCGTGTAACAGAACTAAGCCAAAAGCAGTACCTAACAATCCTTTTCAAACTTTGTCTCAATTTCATATGACAATTCTATTCCTATGAGTGCACTTGTTACTTTGCATCAAAAGCTTCTTCCTTCTGTAGAGCCAAAGATAAGATATCAATTTTAGAGAGAAACAAGAAGTTGGATTTCATAAAAATTAGGAGTCCCTCTTTTTACCTTTGNCTTCTTCCTTCTGTAGAGCCAAAGATAAGATATCAATTTTAGAGAGAAACAAGAAGAAGTTGGATTTCATAAAAATTAGGAGTCCCTCTTTTTACCTTTGTTCAAACTCCAGGCTTCTTATTGCTTAAAATCTTCCCAGCTTGATCACAAGATATGTGTGAAATTCCACAAGATCGCAAATATTTTACTCTGTTCTCAGTGCATAAAACTGCCAACAAATACTTTCCATCTTCCTCATCCATATTTAGCAGCTTAAGTGAATCACTTAAACAAGGAAAAAATGCTTCAGGTCGATAACAAAAAGGTTGAAAAATGAGGTACAGTGCCTCCATATCAGCAACAAACTGATTGGTGCCATCATCAGAGAATCTACTATCACTGATAAGTATGCTGCAAAAAATAAAATGGTCAAGTCCATCTGCAACACTTCTCCACAAATCCAAGAAGTCCTTTAAATTTAGACTCATCCTCATAACTTGAAGCTGACTTCTAAGAGCATCCAGTGCTTCAACAAAATCAACAGATGCACTAAAATCTGTGGCTTCTAACCCTCTTGTTGGCCCAAAGTCTTCTCGCTTTTGTTCAAAGCGTCCCTTACTTTCAATGTAATCCCTTGAAACGGTTTCGAATTGGCGAAGAAGATCAGCAACTAACTCCATCAACCAAGTTGTCTCTAGTTCAATTAACCTCTTTATTTCGTCCCCAAAGAAGGACCATTTAACTTGTGCATCATCTACATGGATGTTTAAAGTAGCCTCAGCAATTCTCATCTCCAAAAAGCTCACATCATCACTCCATTGTAGCAGTTTATATTCACAATATCTAGCAGCATTGATTGATGTGCAGAGTCGTGTTAAGAAGTCATCAGTAGGGCTCCCAGCACTGAATTCAGTTATCTTGCACTGAAAAACCAAGACGTTCAAAAAGTACCAGACGAATCTGGCTGAAGTTGATCTTATAAATTGGCTTCGTGCTAAAATGGAAGGTATAGTTTGACCTCGTTCACTCATTTCCTGGGCAATTCTAAGGGCGTACTCTGCAATTAAGGGCGCTTTATGGTCTTCCCCTGAATAGGGAAGATATTCCTGGGTTTCTCCATATTCTACATTTCTACTGTTATCATCGACTAACCATACTCTTGCATCTTTTAGTTCTGCTTTCAGTTTCGTCCAAGCGTCCTTCAGCTCTATCTTGGCCCAAATGTTTAACCAATCAGGCCTATCACAAAATATAGACAACGGTGATATGCCTCTTGAGAGACCTCCAAGTCCTTCAAACCCCCCAAAAAGGAGAGAAGTTTCTGTATTTACANTATCACAAAATATAGACAACGGTGATATGCCTCTTGAGAGACCTCCAAGTCCTTCAGACCCCCCAAAAAGGAGAGAAGTTTCTGTATTTACAAGTGATTGCATCTGTCTATCAAATGCAACAATAAGGTCAATTAAATGAACCCATGAAGATATAACCTCTGATCGCATTTTCTTTTCCTTATATTTTTTAGCAAGAAAAGGAAAGACATTTTTTGCTAAAAAACCAGAAAGCATTTGGACCATTGCATGCACCCAAGCTTCTTTAGCGCTATAGCTCACCAATCTTGCTCTGTCAATCAGAGGCTGCAAAACATCCTCCACTCCTTTAACAAAGTCCCGCGTAATTTTAAAGACCAGAGCAAAAATTAACGCAGGATGTTCAGCCCACTTTGAAAAGTGGTATTCTGTCCGACATGCAATGAGTGATACTAATTCATCTATGGCCCAGAGCCTTAAATTTCCCTTGTTCTCTGAATTACTACATTGCCGCTCTTCCCTTCGTGCCTGCAAATGTTGCAAAGCACAAAGTAGTAGAATGCTGTCCGAATAACTCTTTATTTGATCTACTTTCATTAGAACAAGTGGATTTGGAAGGTATAAGGTTGTTCCATTCTCTGTTTTTGATGTCAAAACTTTTGGTGGCCATCCCAGAGATGCAAGAAGAGCTCGGTGATCTGCAAGAACTTGTAGCCGGAAAACAGCCAAAGTTTTATCTAGTCTAGTATCAACAGACTTCATTAGATGACACCATTGAGGATGGAGTTTAGCAACGCTGACTAATAAGTTCTCAATACCACTCATGGTTGTTATAGCACCAAACACCTTTTCTTGTCTTGATCCATGGTTCTGAACAACAGGAATGCATTAGTTTCCAGCTTGGGCTCCCACCAATCATCATAAAATTCTAGTATCCATCTAAAATACCAATGGAGAAATATAACCAGAAACAGAAGGGAAAAAACAGATGAATAAAGTAGTTACAGCTGAAANCACCAATCATCATAAAATTCTAGTATCCATCTAAAATACCAATGGAGAAATATAACTAGAAACAGAAGGGAAAAAACAGATGAATAAAGTAGTTACAGATGACANTAGTATCCATCTAAAATACCAATGGAGAAATATAACCAGAAACAGAAGGGAAAAAACAGATGAATAAAGTAGTTACAGCTGAAATTGACGAGTTTGAAGGAGCTGCTGAGAAGATGTCCCCACCATGGCGATTCATAGCAGACAAAACCACATCTTCGAGATCTCCAACAAGACCTTCCAACTTCAATGCAGTCTCTGTAATATTACACGGGTGAGTATAGCTTGTGGCCTGGTAGAGAAAAGAGAGGAGCAATATATTATTGGAATGAATTTGAAACTTGATGTTTCGCAGAAACAAAAAATACTCAACAGTCATCACAGAATAACATCATACACACAAAGCAGATGACAATATATATAAACTGAACTAAAACATACCTGCTTGGTACATAGAAAGACAAATTGATGTATATCGTAATAACTTTGATACCAAATTGACGTAGATCGTACTAAGGAAGAACTAGAGATGAAAAGGGAAGAAAGGGATAAGAAAAGAAGAAGGAGATGAGAACAAAGAGAGAATTTGAAGAAAAAGGATTCAATATCAATAATCAATAATAATCAAAAGTCTAGTCTCACAACAAATATGTATCCCCTATATATATAAGGAGTTTACAAATCCTAAAATAAATAAATAATTAAAATGACAACTAAATCCTTAAAAATTAAAAGAAAATACTTAAAAGATAAATATTAAATTACTCTCATAATTAATCTAAAATATCTATTAAAGGGGTTGGCTCCCATTATTACACGTGTTCTAGCATTAAATGAGCCCACTTGAGATTGATATGACAAAGCACGTGACGAGGACTTCAGCTACTCAGTCAAATGGGTTTAGCCGAACTGACCAATGTGTTCGGCAAAGTAATAAAAAAGCTCGGTTTTCATTAAACCGAACATATCAATGTGCTCGGCAAGCATCAAAAGTGCTCGGCTCTCATTATGATCGGGCTGTTTGAAACAGAAGATAGAAAGATAAAGAGAAGCCTTTAACTTAGGCATTTTGAATGAACGAATCAACAAAATTGTAGATGTCTGGAGGAATTGTTGGAGAAATATTAGCAACTTCCCAAACTGAATCGCTGAATTGAAGGAAGATGTGCCACCTTGAATTAAAAATCACAAAAACCCTAATGGGATAACCATCTATAAAAAGCAAAAGAAACTAAGGTGAAAGGTACGCAGAACTTTCTTTTTCTTCTAGCAATAGCTTCACAACCATTACTGACTTGAGCATCGGAGTGCCTTCGATCGAAGCACTTCGATCTTGAGCAGTTTGTTCGTTTTGCAGAGAGAAGATTGGGAAATCAAGTTCAGAGACATTTCTAACCAACAAGATTACATCAAGTTCCTTGTGAGAGGTATCAATTATTTTTTGACCCTTACATTTTTGGCATCGTCTGTGGGAAGATATTCATCATTCACAACGAAAGGCTATGATGTCAATACTCAGAAGTGCCATCGGATCACCTATAGGCAGCTTTGCCATGGGAAATATTGATCCTGTATCACTTCCATCTGATAGCAACGTCAGGTTGCATATTAACAAAAGCCCATCTGGGTCCCATGAGGACGACGAGGTATCCTCAGCAAGTCACAAATGAACCACGAATCAGAACCATCGTGGACAAGATCGTGGTGAATCCCTCCGTGCCGAGGGAAAAAACCACTCTTTGCCGAAGTTGGTCCAATCCCTGCAGGACCAACTTGATGCTCATGACAAGTTGTTCAAGAATCTTATGCAAGGGAAAAGGACCTAATAAAGGAGAACGAAGAATTGAAAGCCAAGCTGAAGAAGATGACCAAGAAAGATAAGCGAGGGAGAGATAGCCAACGAGAAAGTCCCGAAAAAAAGCATGTCAAAACCAAGAATCCTAATGACGATAAGTACTAGCAGAAGAAACCTCGGATCTAGGAGGAGGATGCCTGAAAGCAGTACATCACTGAGGAACTCAACAACTGTCTTATACGACTAGAACAAAAGTCGGCTAGGGACCTAGCCAGAAGAGCGACAGGAGAATACGAAGACGGCTTGAAGTCATCACCTTTCATTGCATAGATCGAAAGTGGGCGAATCCCGAGTAAGTTTGTCGTCCCAAATTTTAAACTTTACGATGGAAAGACTGACCCGGCCTCCTATATCAGGCATTATAGACAATTAATGACCATTCACCAAAGAAACAAACCCTTGATCTGCACCATTTTCCATAGCAGCCTTGGGGAGTCGGCCATGAAGTGGTTCAACAGGTTGCCAAAGGATTCAATTGACGAATGGCCACAATTGGCCAAACAGTTTACGGCTCGATTCATTACAAGTAGTAAACAGCCTAAGGATGTTGGGGTTCTGCTGACTTTGAAGAAGAAAAATAATGAAACTTTGTGAGAGTATGTTCATCGTTATTGGGAGACGATGAATGAGGTTGAAGGATGCAATCCCGAAATTGCAATCGTGTCTTTCAAAATTGGGTTGCCAAAGGAGAACCCTCTGTGTCAATCACTCACCAGGAGGCCAGTCACAGATCTGGAAGAATTGATGGCAAGAATCGCAAAGTATGCCAAAGTCAACAACGACTTAAATAGAGATGTGATTAAAGAGCATCAAGGCAGGAGGCAGTTCAGTCGTGACAAGCAGACCGAGCCGAGCAAAGAGGACGGAAGGAAGAATGAGAAAGAAGGTTACCCCCAAAAGTCCCCTTTTCTTGGNAATCACTCACCAGGAGGCCAGTCACAGATCTGGAAGAATTGATGGCAAGAATCGCAAAGTATGCCAAAGTCAACAACGACTTAAATAGAGATGTGATTAAAGAGCATCAAGGCAGGAGGCAGTTCAGTCGTGACAAGCAGACCGAGCCGAGCAAAGAGGACGGAAGGAAGAATGAGAAGGAAGGTTACCCCAAAAAGTCCCCTTTTCTTAGGGTAAACACGCTATTCAAAGAACCAATTTACAAGATATTGAATCAGATCACAGCGAAGCCATTTTTTAAGTAGCCCAATAAGTTAACAGGGGATCCTTCGAAAAGGAACCCAAACTACAGATGTTCATATCATCCGGATGTGGTTTATATAATCGAGAATTGTCGATCTCTGAAGCAACACTCAGAGGAACTGGTCCAGGTTGGTCATCTCGCCGAGTTCATCGAAGGTGGGGCAAGAATCGATGGAGGGAGAACCAAATCGAAGGGAGATCAGAACACCCCAGTTGGGGTGATAGATATAATACACGTTGCGACGAATCCGCATATGTCGACGAACAACGTTGCGAGGGCGAACATTTAGAAAGCTGCCAAGGAAAGGAGAATCTACCAATTGCGATTAACCCCGGAGGTTAGGAACAAAAGAATTAAGATGGAGGAATCAGCCGAGGCTATTTGCTTCACCAAGCAGGATCTAGTTGGGGTTCATCAACCACACAACGACACATTAGTAGTCACTCTCAAATCACCAACTACGATGTGAGGCGAGTTCTGATCGATCCAGGGAGTTCCTCAGAAATAATGTAAATAGATCTTTTCAAGAAGCTCGGCCTCAAGCTGACGAATCTGAAGCCTTCAAATACTCCACTGATTGGTTTTAGCGGAAAAACAGTTCTTCCTAGGGGAAAGATCACACTGCCTGTAAAGATTGGACCAGTTTGCATCATGACCGAATTCCTGGTAGTGGATCCAGTCTTGTGGCTTATAATGCGATAATGGGCTAGTTCTGGTTATATGACATGAAAGCGGTACCATCAACGTACCACCAGATGCTGAGATTCCCTTCATCTGAAGGAATAGTAAACATCCGAGGAGACCAGCTTAGTTTTAGAACGTGTTTACTAGCTTCGGTCAAAACTAAAGACGGAATAGAGGTTCAAGAGAGGAGTCCAATAGTCGAGGAGGCGAAATAGCAATCAATACCTGACAACTAGGTTGATTCTGCCGAACAAGCTGTCATGAAAATCCCTAAAGTACCTTTAGGCACAGAAAAGGAAGTGACAGACCGAACAATAGAAGACTTAACTAAAGTACCTTTAGACAAGGATGGAGATCCAAAAAAATACTTTCTATTGGGAACGGCTCTTACTCCCAAGCAGAAAAAAGAGCCTGTAACCTTACTGCGAGAATATGCCAATATTTTCGCCAGGAGCACGAGTGATATGCCCAGTGTACCATCCAAAGTGGCATATCATCGGTTAAACGTCAACCCTAGCTTCAAGCCAATCAAGCAAAAGCTCAGGAGGTCGGCCCCATAGCATTAGGATGTAGTCAAGGAGGAAGTAGCTCGGTTGCTAGAATCACAAACAATTAGGGAAGTACAGTATCCGACCTAGCTGTCAAACACAATGGTAGTAAAGAAAAAAAACAGGAAATGGAGAGTCTGTGTTGATTTCACCGATCTCAACAAAGTCTGCCCTAAAGACAGCTTTCCATTACCAAAGATAGATCAGTTGGTCGATGCAACTGTCGGGCATGAGCAAATGAGCCTCTTGGATGCCTACAAGAGGTACCACCAGATCTCCCTTGCCGAAGAAGATCAAGACTACCTTTATAACGCAAGAGGGGACATACTGTTACAGGGTAATGCCCTTCACATTGAAGAATGCTGGTGCGACATATCAAAGGTTGATAACTAAAATGTTTTCACACGTGATAGACAGTACTATTGAGGTCTATATCAACGATATGGTGATGAAGAGTCAAAGGGCCACCAGTCACTGTTCCGACTTGAAAAGAACATTCGATGTTCTGCGAAGATACAAGATGAAATTAAACGCTTCAAAGTGCGCATTTGGCGTCGGATCGAGAAAATTCCTTGGTTTCTTGGTTACCCACAGCGGAATTGAGGTGAACCCCGATCAAGTAAAGGCAATTGCTGAACTGAAATCACCTCGGACCATAAAAGAGGTACAAAGGTTGACTGGAATAGCAGCTACACTCGGGAGGTTTATATCCCGAGCGTCTGATAAATGCAGACCTTTCTTCCAATCAATCAAAGGAAAGAAAGGGGCACTCTGGAGTCGGGAATGCAGGAAGCATTTGTAAAACTTAGGACATACTTAACCTCACCACCGATCCGCTCAACCCCATTGCCCGAGGAGAGGCTTTTTCTCTACCTAGCTATATCGGAATATACTGGGAGTGAGGCGTTGATGAGGATTGATTGTGAAAGGCTGAAACCCGTTTATTACGTGAGCAAGATGCTCTTAGATGCCGAGTCGAGGTATACTCCATTGAAAAAGCTCGCTCTGGCACTAATAAGCTCGACTAGGAAACTCAAACATTACTTCCAGGCCCACCAAATCACAGTTCTTACTGACCAACCATTAAGATCACT